TTTATATATCAAGTAAGACTTATGTGTTTTTTTTAAATGTATTATTTTATAAATTTAACAAATTATTAATTTACTACATCGAATTAAATTGGGATCGATCAAAAATATTATTTAATTAAAATTATTAATTTATCTAGTATTAATTTAGAGAGGTTATATTATGTTTATTTCACTCTTTTTTCTTAATTTACCTATTTTCTTTTTTTAATATTTATGATCTCTTTACCTTTCAAAAAACAAAATTTATGATTTCTAATTTAATTTACAAAAGAAGATTTTGATTACTTTTGAGACTTGGGTCCGAACTTGATACTATGAGCTAATCATGATGAGGACAAAATAGAGGTACCTGTTATTGATTCCAAGCCCTAAGGTAGAAGCTTGGTTTTAGATATTCAACACGTCTCTCCTAGAAAAGTTTGCTTAGGCAATGGATGTGCGTCTTGACTTCAAATTGTGATGAACCAGTTGGTTGGTGCCGTGAAATTCTTCCTCAGGACAAAATGGAGACAGAAGGAAAAACCAACCCTTCTTCAATTATCATCCATTTTTCCATCAAACTTATTTACAATTTTTTTTTCTCTGCTCTTTTGATCTATTGTTGTCTAGAGAGAGAGAGGAGGAGATTGATTCAAGCTTAGATTGTACTTTGGATAAGATGAGATTAACCCACATTGGAGGCCCAAACCCTTTTCCTATTATATAACATACTTTGTTTAAAATGGAGTTTTGACTCCGTGGATGGTTTCAATTTTTGAATTACCCAGCATATCATGAACACAAGCAAGAATGCATGCCAATTTTGATCAAAGCAAATAAGATATTGATTAAAATTAGGGTTTATATTTGATAAACTTGTTAGTGCATGAGACTTTTGTGTGCAAGCAAGCTGATTGTTACTCCTTTGCCCCAATGTTCTTTTTAATTTGTTTGCATTACACAGAAATGGAGAGATCAGCTAAAAGTATTGCCCACAAACTCATCCAAGACATTTGGGCTCTTAAAATATATTAAGTCTGGGTTGGACTGTGCCAAGCTTCTTGGACTTTAACAATCAATTCAACCAACCCAAACATATTTTTTTTGGAATCCCAATGTTTTCTGATTCAATGATTTTAAAGAACAAAGAAAGGGTCAGAGCATAAGGTCTATCAGTTTAATTTCATATTTTTTGATTGGTGAATAGGAATATGATTAAAGAATAATAATAATGGAATAAATTAAAAATTTTGTGAGAAAAAGAAGGGGCATAAAACAAAGCACCATACTCTAAAAGTGAAAGCATTTGAATATTTACATCATAGATGCTGTGGTTGAACAATATGCCGCTCCTGAGGTTCACTGGTGAACTGCTGTGGCTGGCTGCCTGATTGGGACCGATCGTTTGCTGCTGATGTTCCAGCCCCTTCTTTCTGTATTTTGTCATTGCAGCTGATGTACGCTTTTTCTGCACAGGATTTAAATATTCTGTGGCCAAGTACATTGCTCTTAATAGCTTGTGGGGGTGAGACCAATCTCAAGTATGTGTTCTTTGTCAATATTGGTTTACAGGAGAAGAAAACACCGACTTGTCAAGCTGTTCAAATGTGGTTAAAACGATAATTAAAAGAATGTGACAGACCCCAAAGATAAAACGGGGAGTAAAAGCAAAAGTTGGTGTTGACAATAGGTACCCTGTTACAGGGCACATGCCAGCCACGAGATTACAGAGCGTTAGGATAATTTATATGACAAGTTCAGATAGTAATTTCGCTATTCATATCGAATTTGGAGTATTCAATATTCAAACTTAATTATGTTTTTTAATATATATTATGTTAATTTATAAAAAATTTAATTATTATTATATATATTTAAAATATATATTTTTAATATAAATATATTTACTTTTTTTATTCTGTGTTAATATTACAAAATTATTAATTATAATATATATATTTTTATTTATATAAAGTTATAATGCATATACTTAAAGAGAAATTATAAGATTAGAATAGTTTTAAAATTAAGTTATTTTTTTAATTTTATGTAATCAAAGACAATCCATATAGTTAATTAAATTAATTTACAAAAGTATGATTATTAATTATTTTGTAATATTTTTTAATATATATTTTTTATATAAAAAAATATAATTATTTATAAATTATATGAAATATGGATGAAAAATATTGCGTGAATTCGAGTAATTGAGTATTTATGAAAAGTATTTTAATAATTTTTTTATGTTATTGAGAGTATGTATAAGGGTTTATATTAAAATAATACATTTAAAAAATATTGGAATGATTATAAATTTAACTATTCATTTATTATTCGGGTTGGAGTACTGGTACCCTACCCGTTCATCATGATATGCAATGCCGCAGCCTCCAGGTGTTGAGAATCATTCATGAATTGTGCTGCTAAAGGTGCTCCTATTGTTTAGTGTACACATAATCCATCGGACCATAACTTACTGATTCTGTAAATCCCAAATTCTTGTAATAAACAAATCCTTATACTAGTAGAAAATAACTACACAAAAAATTAGGAAAGATCGGAGCTTATAGTACCAGAGTCTTAAGTAAAATTTACAGAAGCTAGGGTAAAATTCAGAAAGTTAAATAAAAGATGTGCGTTTTCTGTGTCATCTACATCATCTTAGCAGTGGAGAAGTCAAAGTTTGGATTCTGAGCCATGAATTTCTTAAGCATCTCTTGCTTCTCGGTCTCCTCGCTGGTGGGAAGCCCCAACTGCTTCTGTCTCTGATCAAACATCATCTTCTCGATGGTGGATCTGGTTTCAGAGTCCAAATCAGACAACTGACTGGGCTCAGGTTCTGCTTTCTGAGTATCAATCTCGGGACCTCCCTTCAACAAGGATTTCCACCAATTGGTTTTATCACACTTGGTCAGTAACACGGAGATCATGTTTTGATCCTCCAAACTCCAGTAAGATTCGTTAGGTTTCACCACTCCGAACAACTCCGCATCAAGAATGGGAGTATGACCCTTTAGCCCAACCTTCAGATGCTTCATCTTTACATCGCAGACAACGTCCCTCGATCTGGTTCCGTGAGGGACTGGAATGCTAACACTCACCTCTTGCAGGTTTTGACCCCATGAATGGTTCTCCATGTCAAGACCGTTTGCTTTGTTTGGAGTTAGCTTCGACATTTGCTCTGAGAATCAGAAATCTTCTATATGAGAAATCTTGTATTATCAAATTCTATATGTTAAGAGACCTGAATGATACAATATATATATATATATATATATATATAAGACTAATCCTATTTATAGTGTAACTCTATTAATAACATTCTAGTACAACTTTTAAGTAAATATAGTATTATAGTCCAATTAGGTAATAAATATTGTATTATAACTCTTAATTTAATAAAATCTCATTAATTTAACCTATAATCTCTACAACTGCTACTGAAATATTAATGGATGGATTTACATATATTATCTTGGCTTTGCAGGAGAATCTTTCTATCTAAAACAGAGGAAGTTCAGAATCATTAATATCAATCGAAAGAAATAATGAAGTAATTGTTCATTAGTTAGCTCAGTTGTTAGGCTTTTTTCTGTTTTGCAGGACCTAAGCTAAGCGAGTATGTTACCACCACTTGTTAGAAAGATAAATTATCTAAATGAAAGATTATTTTTTTATTAAAAAATTTATTTTATATATTTATATTAGTCATGAACATCAGCATCATTCCCACATGGTTTGTATTAAATCCCTTTTTTGTTTTTGGTAAAGAATGGTGGCTTAGTCAGCATTCCATTCACCTTATGATGGAACCATTGACTTGATGATCAATGAAACAACTGAAAGTATGATAGATGGTCTTTGATTCTAATCCCCTCTTCCTATTTTTATATTGTATTATTGTTCATAATGTTATGGACTCTGAAGAGACAAAAGAAAGCGACCATTTCCTCTTCCAAATTTTGATGTTCAGAGAGTGAAAATGAGAGTCTGAAAGATTTTCCACATTAAAAATACCGAGTTATCTACAAACGTGTAACTGGGTTACAGCCCCAAAAGGGTTAAAATTGGTAAACTATAGGCGTTAGGGGGCAAGAATTAGTGCTGTATCAACTCTGGGATTAGCTTTAAGAGAAATGAGAGCTCCTGCTGTGAGAACTGAAGCTGTGATTTTGCCTCAGTCTCCCCATTCCCATCCTCTGCGGGAACTGCCTTGGCAGGCTTGATCATGTCGCTCAAAGCCTGTGAGATCTCTTGAACAAAGTCTACTATCACCCCATCAATTCCCATTAAATGTTGCATGTAAACAGCCTCTGGTACATTGCTGCAGTAACAAGCAAAGTTTCATAGTTAGACAGAACCTTCCAAGCTTTAAAAAGCAGCCTGTTCGAAAGTGTTAGGTTGGAGAAGGGCATGCCATCCAACATTTGACTATGACAACCTTATAAAGCAGTCAAAAAGCTACATAAGAGTTTTATTATGGCCTCACAAGGTAAAGTTTTCCAGGCAAGGGAGGTCATGATTTAGCTGATCACATGGTGGATATTTTAGGAACTTACTTCAGTTGGCCATATGTCAGGAGGGAGAGCTTAGACTCTTTAATCTTAGGCACTGCTCCTGGATTTCTAAACACTCCTTTGATCTCTGAAACAATCCCTTGCAGACCACCTTCCAGGCAGACCTTTATGGCCTCCTCCAGGGAATTTCTCCTCACATCATAGTAAAGTTGAGTCCCACCATTTGTTAAGAAGAAAACCTGTTGATTTTCGAAGATAAACATTAAAAAAGAGTCTAAAAATAACATACAGAGACATATGATCCATTAAAAATGTAGCTAGAATCCTTACAGGATAGTTGTTCTGCAACTTCCTAACAAGCTGAGCTGCATCGGGCTGGAAACTAGAGAAGATTATGGGCCTATCTTTTGCAAACTCAAACACCACCTGTCACGTACCAAAATTCACAGCAATTAAGAACAAAATGTCTTGCCAGTCCCTAGAAAAAAAAAAAAAGCTTATAGCAGGATGTAGATTTCCCCCATTGATATACCTGCAAGATGACTTGGAGAACATGGACGAGATAATCTTGCTGATAAACAATATTGTCATCAAATTTCAACTCAATATTGAAACCCAAAGAAGGCTCAACACTCTGGAAAGCTTCTTCCAGGGTACAAAGTGGATCATCTGTTTCAACATCCCACTTAACAATTTGCCCATCTTTTGTTTTCCTCAACAAGCATCTCCCCTCTTTCCCTGCTTCCCTCTGGGGTCCATAGCAAAGGAATTCTGCTAAACATAACTCCGTGACTCTCTTCTCAAACACAGTGCCCTAAAATAAAACCCAAATCAATTATCAGAAACACAGGGGGAAATGGACAATTTTTAACCCTTGGTAATTGGTTAAAACTTAAAAGACAAAAGAAAAGAAAAAGTGGAACATACATTTTCTTCAGAGAGGATAAGGTCGTCGTGGAAAATGACAGGGCAGTCATCTTTTGTCACCTACAAAAAGCCACAAGCGCTTGCTTTACTTCCTGTGATTGATTGGCTCATTTGCCCATTTTTCACCACCTCCAAACTCTTTCATAAATTTCTCAAAATCAAAATCTTTTTTTAAGTTTATTTTATTAAAAAAAAAAACCCACCAAAACCCAGCAAGAAATGAACACCATCAGTAATCTTCCACTTGGGAAAAAGAAAAACTAATTCCTATTAATAGAAATTTATTCAATTAAGGGAAAAGTAAACTTAAACGCGCTTGTAGGCACGTGGGGAGGAAGAAAAAGAACCCATCCAACCACCCCACCAGATTAAGACAAAACACCTTGTCGTACGCGGCGAGCGTAAGCCGCTAACCCGACACAAGAACGTGGTTTCATGTGTTATGAAGATTTCGATTAATCCAAAGATGAGAAAAAAAAGAAAAGATGACAAAGAACAAACGAGATTAAAAGAAAGAAAAATGTTGGGGAATTTGATCCTTACCTGAACGTCAAATTCAATGAAGTCAATGGGAGATTTAGCGGCAGAGTTGAAGGAGAGAATGGAGTTTTCTTTAATGGCTTTCATTCTTGAATCAGAGCTTTGTAGCATGTTCATGCCATGCCCTCGATGCCCTATCACCAAAAACTTTGGTATCCTAAACGATGTCGCCCTGTTCAACTCCAACCCTACGTACAACAACAGAAAACCAAAACTAATTAAAACCCAGATTATAATCACGACCAAGAAACAAGAAACAAGAATAAAAGATGGTGAAAGCTTAAAAGTTGACGTTACCTTTGGAAAAACGGGTTGAGTAGAGAGAAAGAGAAGAGTTTTCCTGGACTTGGTCGAGGTTGGGCACGTCGGAGACATGAACAGCTTTGAGAGCCATTGCTGAAAGGTTTACTAAAACAGAGGGAACAGAGGGACAGAGGAGGTATTTCGAGGATCGTTGCGAGGATTTAGAGAGAAAAAAAAGGGGTATTTAAGGAGAAACAACAACGGGAAATCATGGACGAAGGATCTCCCCTTAGAATATTCCCTCCAATTTTGCCCAAAAATGCTTTGGGATATTCTCCGTTACCATTTTCCCCAAGTCAGCTTATTCCGTTAAACTTAACGGTGTTTTATCTGCTACTCCCGGGTTCACCAGAAGTTTCCGTGGGAAAATTTGGTCTGGTTGTTACGGCCATTCTGGTCAACTGAGTAATTGTCTTCCTTTGAAAGGGTTTCTATGTGTTGACGCCCCGAGATTGTGTGAACTGGTCTACGCTCTCTGATTAGGGGACCCCGAATCCCCTGATAAGGAAATTTGCCACCTGATTGGGGCGACTGTTTGCACGCGCTGTTGACGTAAGTGATGAGAGTTGGAACAAACTAATTTGTCTTATACCTTTCCAAGGACAAGCAGGCAACGATAATAGAATATCCACCGAATATCTGCTTCGGGTAAGCGGCGGGAATACTTACTTTGAATAGTAAAATTATTGAATTTGAGTAATAAGATACTTACTATTTTAAATTCAACCATAAATATTACATTTTAATTTTGTATATTATTTTATTTATAAATTACTTATAACTAATATAATATTTATTAAAATGCATTAATTATTTGAAATATAATTTTAAATTGTAATTTATTAATTAAAATTTTTATTAATAATATAATATTTTAATTCGAGTTTTGAATTTTTTTCAAATATTAACAATTGAGTGCTAGTATTAAATATTAATTTTTAATCGAATTCGAGTAAGATGTAAGATAAATTTTAATTTGATTGAACTTAGGTATCTTAAAATTAATGAATTCCTTTCCCTTTATTCTTATTATTTAAACCTTTTTCTTTTTCTTATTATTTTTCGGTTTGATTGTACGAATATTTGTTAAGATTTTACAGGCAGAGCAAAGGGTAGTGCGAGGATGCGTGCAAGGAATATGAATTTAAATCGCTGGAGACACGTGGATGGCAATTATTGGATAAGGATAATTTAGATAGAACACTATGATGAGCGGTAGCCGGCAGGCAGTGGCTAAGATGGTTCGCAAGGGCATGATGTGTTTCCACGGTAGACTTACCTGTCAAGATGGCGGTGCTTTGACATCATTAAGCGGTGATTAAGTTAAAATATTAAGTTAATTAGTTTGTAATTAGGAATAAAGTTTTGTTGTGAGTTAGCTTAGCTAGAAGAGATTTGGCTAATATCTTTTTTTCTCTAATATATATATATGTATGTTGTGTTGAAGACGTGTGAAGGACGTGGAATTATTTGGATCAACTTTGTTGGTGACAAATGGGGTGGAACTGACTAGGTTAGATCATTTTTGAGGCATATATATATATATATATGAAATATTTTATTTCAATTGGTATTAAATACAAAGAAAATGATTGAATATTTTTTAATGTATTTATATTAAAAATTAAAAAAATATTATATAAGTATTTAATATTTTTTAATATAAATAAGGGATTTATAATATATATAAAAATAAAAGTATTAAGTGTTTAAAAATGGGAAAAAATTGGTCAAAATTTGTTTAACGTGGATTAGAAGGGACATGATTAATTATATATAGTTTGTCCTTATCTTGATTTGAACTGACTCTATATGCAGATAAAATTAATTTTGCCTTCAAACAAAAGCAACCCAAAGATGAAAATCCTATTCCTTATTCCACAATATTTCTGGATGAACAATATTTAAGCAATCCAACCTAACTTTTCCGTATGAAGTAATAGATTACAACCAGAAATTTAAGGAACAAGGGAGGATAGGGGCGGACGGACGTTAATACAAGCGGCGTCAAATGACAGAATTGAAGTGTAAAAAATTCTAACTAATTATATTATTTATGTTAAAGTTTTATATAATTAATGATGTTAATAAATTTATTAATTTTTTTATAATTTAATTATAATACTATTCATGAAAGAGGAGATGAACCTAACTTTTCTGGTCATCTTTATGCAATAGAGATAAAATAGATTCCCCTCAAGAGCCCCGTTTGATGTTCCCTTTGTATATGCTGTCGGCGATCCAAAGCATCAATATTCAACGTGATAAACGCATTCAATTATTTTTTGATAAATAGTTCAAACTTATATATGAAAGTTTGGATTCCGTCCTTAAATAAATCTTTTTATTAAAAACAAATTGCCAAACAAAAGAAGCTATCTACTACAATTGAATATAATTAGCTATTGAAATAAGTAAATAAATTAAATTAAATAAACAATTAAAACAAAAATCAAATAAATTGAACTGAATCAATAGAATTCAATCGATTTTATCAATTTATTTAATTAAAATTGAATAATGTTTATTTTTGTGAAAAATAAAATATGTAATAACCAAATATATAAAAAAATCATGTTAAATGTATGCATCACAAATCTCAAATTAATATATTTAATTTATAAAGCATAGATGAGAGAAGAAGTGAGGTGGATTGGTTTGCAAGGTGTCACTATTAGCTTCCAAGGTTCCAAGCAATGGAAGGCTCTCTAAATAAAGCAGAACAGCATCCTGTGCTATTCCATGTTATTCTTACAGGGAAAAGAGATAAATGCAAAAGCCAAAATGCTGTCTTTTCTTTCACATTCAGACAGAATGGGATTTGTCTCTCTCCAGGCCAGCTGTGTCTGCCAACATTAAACAACAATAAAATTTTCATTTCTTTTATGGCTTCTCTGTCTTCTTCTGGTGCTGGTTTATTGCAACCCACAGCTTTGGATATGCATGCTTCACCTGGAAGATTACCTTAATTAATCATATATCCCCATCTTCACCTTCTTTAATTAGGTTCCTTCATTGAAATAATTTATGTAAAATGCTTCTCACTCACCTACTTGAATTGTTAACTAATTGTGAAATCCAAGTGGTCTACCTAGAAAGAAATAAAGAATGGCATGATTGTTTAATTTTAAGGAAATTTCATTTATACTTTTTTTTTTTATATTTAACATTTTTTTTATTCAGTCAATGAAAATTTTCCTTATTAAAAATGTAGAGAGTCATTTTAAGGAAAACTATACGTAATAATTATTCAATCATGAAGACATGAAGTAGTAGTAAAGAAGAAAACTAATTAATAACGCCTAAATACAATACATATTTATCTCTATAAACAAAAAAAAAACACCCACAGAGCAACAGTCATCACCAGAAACAATATAAAAGTATACCCCAAATTTCACCCAATGGAAACCACCATTGAACAAAAGCCATTAAACACCACAAACAACATAAAATCTAACCCTCAAAATTCTCCTAACAAGAACCATTAAAGGGTTCCCAAACCACCATAGAACAAAATCATCAAACCATTACCCCTTTTTTGCCCTTTCTTCTCCCTCTTTTCACCAATTTTTTGTAATTGAATTTGATGATGGCCTCAGATAAATCCACCTCTGGATGAGGTTCCTCTTGATGAGCTTTGAATTCCAGCTCATCTTCATTCATAAATTTCAGCCCGTAGCAAGCCTCTTCAGATGGGCTCAGTTTAACACAATTGGATTTATCTGTTTTGGACATTCAATTAGTGTTCCATGCATGCATGACTTGTGTTGCAATAAGGGGTTGACGATTAACTATATTCAATAAAATTAATCTATTTATTCATATTCAAAAGGTATTTTTATACTTTTAAATTGAACAAAATTAACTATCTAATATTATGTGGGAACGAAAATTATACAGTGTTAATTGAAAAAAAAAATTACAAAATATTAATTAAGAAATAAAATCATGAAATGTCACGTGAAGAAAATAAACGAAATTTACCTCATTTCAGATATTTCATGCACCATTTGGGATGGACGTGATAAGCTTTTTGCAGTTGAAAGACTGAAATCTCAGTGTCACATTACGTAAGAATAATGATTATCAGCATACAATCAAGGGAGCAACTTTCTCGACCAATGACTTTGGGATAAACATTATCAAGCCATGGGGTTGGGGAGGTCACTAAGAAAATGGCATCCAACAAAACAAGAAGATCCACCAGCAAACAATAGCTAGACATGGACTAGTCCAATTATGGTACGACGAACTTGAAACAATGTTGCAATAATGGGTCTCCCTTATATCAAATATAAGAGGAATATTGCCATTACCATTCTTACAAAAAAAAGACAAAACTGCAGATGTTGACTTCCATGGTGGCTAATTCTACTAGCACTAATATAACACAAGGAACTATCAATCAGTGTTACACTATAGATCATTTATATATCCAATAATCCATTTGATGCACCATAACCAACGGCAACAACCTAGAACAGCAATCAACATGCATCAAGGATATTAAAAATAATCCAAATTAACAAACAAAAAATGATAATAATGAATTATATGAAAAATTGGAAATTAATCCATTAAAAAAATACAAAAAATCTAAAAATTATCATGATTTGCATATGAACATATTGCATCAAAATTCTACGAAATAAGGCACGGAATATTAAAGTAAAATCCAAAGGGAAGAAAAAATAATTATATGAACTTAGAGCATATCGTTTCTAATTAATGAATCACAAAACAAGAAGTGAAGTCATACTTTAAACATGATGAAAAAGAATTTCAGAACTGAATGCATAAAAATAAAATAGAAATTGTTGTAGGCATAAAAGTCCATAAAACCCTAAATAAGACTATACAAAGCAAACAATTAGTATTTAGTATGAGTTTGCAAAATTGACTTAATTTGGCTAATCTTGGAGAGTGGAGGACGAATACAGGTTGCTGTTTAGGGGGGTTCAGGGAGAATAAGTTCTCCCTTTAGCTAGGGTTTCCTCCTCCTCCCTTTGTAAAATATTTAGGGGCTTATATAGAGCAGCACCAATGCAGTTTTGGCTAATTTCCTTCAACCAATCATACGAATTACGTTTTTTATGAAGGCTAAAACACTTGAAAGAAGTGAAGAATCAACTTGAGAATCAATGAAATACATGAAGAGATCATTTTACCCCTCTTCTATTTTGATGGAAATTAAGACAAAAATTTTGATTTAGTAATAGAAAAAAGTAAAAGGAAAATCAAGAAAAATAATTTGTAATATAAAAAACAAAGATATTTCCAAAAAAAAAAAATACTAACTATTACCTGAATACTTGTCTC